AAGTTCACATGATATGAAGTACAGTTGATACTTGAACAATGTGGGGAAGTTAGAGGTGCTGACACTCCCCCCTGTGCACTTGAAAATTCTCATGTAACTTTTGACTACCCAAATACTTAACTATTAATAGCTACTGTTGACTAGAAGCCTTACTGATAATATAAACAGTTGATTAACATCTATTTTGTATGCTATATGTATTATATACTGTATTCTTACAATACAGTAAGCTTGAGAAAATATAAATCATAAGGAAAATACACAGTATTTACTGGAAAAAAAAATCCACGTATATGTGGATCTATATGCAGCTCAAACCTATGTTGTTCAAGAGTCAACTATATTACTGAGCTCTTTCATATAAGCTACATTCCTGGAACAGGCTACAAAATAAAAGAGCCAGTTGTGATGCGGAGTTTAGATTTAACAAATTGACAAAAAGTAAAGAATATTCCTGGCATTTATTCTGGGGACTAGGGCAAGGGTTGACCTTTTGAGTTCTTGGGGGAAAAAAAAAAAAAGCCATTTTCAGCAACCAACCATCTCAGACTCTTGAGATGACCAGTTTCCTGAGTGTATTACATGTTTAAAGGGAAGAGAGTAAAAAATCTGGCAAAACAATTTTTATTGATTTTGAAATTCATCCATAAAGGAAAAACAAGCACATAGGTACTCTCATACCATTTGAAATACAAACTATTTCTGGAAAGAAGTTTGTAACCAAGTACCAAAAGTCCTACCTTTGACAAAGTAATTCTACTTCTAGGACTCTGCCCTAAAGAAATCATGTATTAATTGATTGTGAAATGATAATAATGGAAAAATCAGAAATAGATTACAAGTCAACAACAGGGGAATAATTAAATAAATTATAGTATGTATGATGGACATTAACATGGTGTGAAAAGAATGATAAAAAATGTTAATGACTATGAAAAATCTTTATGTTAAATGAAAATAAATAAAGCAAGCAGGTCTATTCAACATCACCACACAATTAGGGGGAAAAAAAACATGGATAAATGTACAGAAGAAAAAAACATGAAGGAAATATTCCAAAATATTAATAGTTTTATGTATGGGTTGTGGGGTTAAGGGATGATTTTTCTTTCTTTCACATAGGTTTACTGTATCATATAGGTTTTCTATGACTATATATTACTACTATTTATAATGTATTTTAAACTTATGGATAAAGTTAGAAATGACAGAGGAAGATGGTAGAAAGATAAAATTGCATACAACACAGGAAGCATAACTCTTATTTGCTAATCGGTACAATGTAGAATCTTTACATTTATGAAACAGCAAGTGAAATAAACTTCATAGATATCCCTTAGGAAGAATTACATTTGAAATATTTAAACTACGTTTTGGAAAAAGTATGCTATACAAACCAAAAGTGCTATTATCCCCATGAAAGTTGAACTGAAAAACAGGCATGTGTGCAGGTTTGGGTAATGCCCTAAGAGCCCAACTGCTTCTGTTAATGAAAAAAATTTTTTTTAAAGTTCCATGCTATGGAAAAATAGAGAAGTTTATATCTAGTAATAGTCTACTAACAAGTCCACTTATTACAGAGAACCATTAATTAGATGGAAGATTCTGGTTTTGTGATTCTTTTTCACAACAAGGGAAACTTTTACAGCTGTAATTAAAATAAAGGAAAACCATTTAGGATTATTCTAGATGAAATCACATTTATTTACCTTAAAATTTCCCCACCTACTTGTTAAAGCTTTCAGACCATGCCTCTTTTGGTTTTACAGGAATTCCTCCAGGGCCACTCCTTAGTCCCTGAAATTACTCAAGTGTGCACCAAATCCATTACCAGTACATCAGCATCTTCAAATCTGTTCCCTGTGGGATTAAACTCTCCCCTTCTCAGTCTCCCAGAAAATGAATGTAATATTGTTAACTTACGAAGCTCTGGCCCCTCTCCCCACAAAAAAAGCTTTCATACCATGGACATAATCATGTCAATGATTCATGAAGGAAACCACCGTAAATAAGTGAGGTGACTTTATATATATTTGTAAAAGTGATCTATTTTGACCTGAAAACAGCACCAGCTCTAACACGCTAGATATACAGAGCATATGCATTTTTTAGGCTTTGCTTTATGAATTCCCCATGATGAAAACGATATATTTAAAAATCCATACCTGACTAAGAAGTTGTCCATGAAAAATGTTATTCACAACATTCAGAACCTGTTTGATAAGTTTCCTTTGAGAAATGGGGATAAGAGCTGGTAACCTGGTACCAGTTGTTTCTAGTTCATGTTGTATTTTATCCAAAAGTTCACAAAGAAATTCCTGAGCATCTTGTTGGGCATAACCACGAAAAGCAGGAATTAGTCTCCACACAGAGTGTAGCATAGCAAATGGTGAGACCAAGGCCCACTTTCCAGACCACATGACTTGGAATAAAGTATGCAATTCATGACAGAGAGAAATGTATTGTGAACTTGACTCCCTTAGCTGAATAAGTTCCATCTTTCTACTCTTTGATACTCCACCAGTTAGTCTGGAGGATAAACTTGGATGTCTAGAGAAAACAGAGCCTGTATCTTTTTCTTGGCATTCATTCATTCGATATAGTGTATCTGTGACTGGTGGATGCTTATAAGATGATCTTGTCTTATCACTAGCTGTCACAGCCAGCCATCGGTTCAGATCAAGTTTTAAAAAACACTGTCGAAAAATAAGTAAATGACTCAACACTTGAAGAACAGAATTCATATAGCAAGTATTTCCTAAATTTCTCAATCCTGTTACACCAGGAGTTACGATTGGCCTTTGTTTAACTGAGGAATCACTGGCTTTTTTAAATTTTACATCTTCTGAGGTAGATACTACATCATCTTTTGCTGGTGATGCTGAGGTTTGTAGTGGTTCTTGAACAGGAACTATCTCTACTGTGGTGGACTGAACTTGACCTTGCAAACGTAAACTCTTTCTTGGAGGCATACTTTCCAATTCTGCTTTAACCTGATGTTCTAATTCTTGCCGTCTTTTCTTCACTTCTCTTTTTTCTGTTTTTTCCTGAAATTGTTCTTCTTGCCTTTTTCTTCCAATGGGTGACTGTTCAAACCAAATTCGAAAGATTTTACCCATTAGGATCCTTCTCCTGTGCCAAAGAGCAGTATACATTTGATCTTCATTTTGAAGCAGAGATTGGGCACCATCATTTAAGAAATAAGAATCATCACTTATACCTATAGACCGTAAAACCCTTCCACTACGAGTGGTGCAATAATAACTTTGACTTTTGATTGCACTTAATGTACTTCGTAGTAACTTCAGGTCTCCGGTTGCATTATCATTAAGAACATAATCATCACAAAGGTAACAAAAAACATACATCTCATTCACCTCCAATGCAACAGGATGACTGCTTTCTTGAAAGTGCTTGAGTGCATGTTCTTCGATGTATCTTCCACAGGCAACGTGGGAACAGCTAAGGCAAGCCCAGATTGACTCAGTTGTATTGCAGTCCACACAATGCCATTTCTGAGGGTTGAGGATGGAATGGTCTTGAGCAAGCCGCAATTGCTCAATGTGTTTGCACTTATCCATTGTTAACATTTATTTAGTCTAGCTGAGAAACACATAATCCAAATAAGTCTCTGTTCGCACTTGAAATATCTGAAAACTAAGCAGAACAATGTCAATTTTAATAAAATAAAAACAAGAGGCAAATATTTTTTATAAGATTTTTTCCAAGAATTATTTTATAAATGTGCTCACTCTGCTCCCAATTTCTGGGCTGGCTATTACAATTACCATAGGCAACTCTCACATTTCCTCTGCTCTAGACTTCTCTAATCTCTCATTCACCTTACTCTAAAAGAACACACTTCACTTTACCTTCTGAGGGGGCTCCCTAAAAAGCTTTCTAAATTTTCTGCCACCATCCACTGGTGAAGAATGGGTAGTGACCACTTTTTACTGAACTAGAATAAGATGCATCCTTTTTACCCAAAAGTCTGAGGGCAGTTTAAGATTGGGATGGCGAGATCAAAATATATCTCACTATTACCTACATTCTGAGAGCCCTCTGTGGAGTTACACAGCATAATCATAGGTAAAATGAGTTTTGAAGCCTTTTCTGAATGTTGCGCAAGGAGTCAACTCATACTACCTTTTTAAAATTTTAGAATGAAGTAATTTTTCTTGAGTGTAAATAAACAGCATTTACCTCGTCATCTCTTCAAGTAGTTGAATAATTAGTCTATGACTTGCCAGAAACAATTAACTAAATTATCTCTGTGTCCTTTATATGTTCCTTTTAAAATAAAAGTAGATAGATCCTGGGGTTATCTTTGGGTAGTGGGATTGAAAATTATTTTTTTATTAATCCTTTTAAAATTTCTAAAAATATTGAACATGTTAACTTGTATAAGTTTTAAGAAAGTGCTAAATTATACACTAGCCTCTTTACTCCCTTCTCTATATTCAGCAAATAAATTCCCTTGGTTACAAAGAATTTGCCTATTTCATTGCATTTGTCACTAAAAATATCTAGTTAGATGATGGCAAGGTCCCTGACCTTCAACAGGAAGTGATCTATAATTGAACAGCATGATTCCATTCGATGGAAAATTGTGAAAAGGGTGAAATGTTGATCACCTCTCTGACAGGCACTATATAGCAGGGGAATGGTATCACAGCAAATGGTTAGAGAGCACACTCTGGAATCCAAATGCCTGAGTTTAAAATTAAGCTGTATTTACTATGTGACCTACACACATTATTTAGGCTCCACATACTTCAATTTTCTTATCTGTAAAATAACAAATAGTAATAACACGAATAGGGTTGTTGAAGGAACTGGAAAAATGTATATTTAGAAAGCACGTAGAACAATTCCTGGCACTAAATAATATGTCCCCTAGTACATCTTAGCTCCCAATAGTAATAACAACAACAATAATTACAATAATTACAATAATAGTAATTATTGTTATTATAAATGCTAATTCCTTATAGTTTTATCATTTTTAGTGAAGAGTTCCTTCTTTTCAGCCAAATGTGTACTTAGCCCAACTAAGGTGCTAACTGATAATCAAGATGTTAGCTGAGAACTAAGGTCTGACCTCTCCCAGGGGTATTTGCATTTTAAAAGGAGATCTCTCAAAGATAAAATCTTTCTAAAAATCCAAAGAAGTGACACCAAAATGGTTGATAAAAGATCAGGAGATTAATATTTTAGAGTAAGAGGCCCACGATACCCTGTCTACTTATGAAAAAAAACAGTAGGGGATGGATGACCAAGAGAAGGACAGGGAAGAAGCCGGAGCTAGAGAGCCAGGCTGCTGGAACCAGAGGTCTCCAGTTTGCTCTGCTGCTTGGAGTCAAAACTCAGAGACAGTTACTAGGGTATCCCCAAAGGGGCCTCATCACACAAAGGTCTAAAAGCTTGAAGGAAAAGAAAGGGGGATGGGAGTATTTTCTTGACACTTACTATTTTCCTCTACTGGGTTCTGAGCACTTCTTTTCATTTGCTAATCCACTGCTGAGAAGTATGTATATCTTAACTCTGGCTTCAACAGATGGGATATGTAGTTTTTGGCAGTATACTCATTTTAAAGAGAGATAACAAAACATTTTTGTATCCCCCAGATAGATTCTGATAAAATATTACCTGTACCTATACATAGTAGCAACATAAAAAGTCAAAATGTTTTGAATGAAATCTATAAAGACTAAAATTATACTATCTTTTTCTCATATATTTAAAAAATGTCTCATACTTGAAATTCCAATTAAGAGCTATGAAATGGCTTTTTTTTAAAACAAGTATGCTAATTTTTATTTTAAAGACAGATGGATTTATAAATATTCTGAAAGCTTCTTTTTGCCATTCTTCATTGCTTAAAGACAATAAAAATTTTAATTTGTTCAAAAAAAACCTCATTCAAGCTATTTAAACTTTCCATGCCATGTAACTGAGCAAATATTTTCATTTTCAAAATTTCCTTCAGGAAATTTCTAAAGCTTAAGAAAATAATTGTACTGGACTTACTGAAAGCAAATTATTTCATACAGAGTTAGCATATCATTAAAACAATTATAGAATAGCTAAAATGACTGGAAGAGAAATAAAACATAAGATCTAATTAGATATGGGATTTTTAGTCAAAAGTTTGTATCACACACAAAAACCAAGGTCACAGATAAAATATTCAACCTGTTAAATGGCACAAAATTGCTTATATGTATCACCCAGTGAGGGTTCTCTGAAATTTTCTTTTGCTCATTGCAACATACAACCCAGACTTTAAGCATGTAGCGATACTTTTCTGATCTATTTTACTCGCTTTTCAAACCTCTTGTCATAATGAACTCATCCTACAAGCAGAGGTTCAATAATATCTAGATAACTGACCACCGAGACTTTATTCTTAGCCCAAGTTTTGTGAACCAGTTTCAGACACACCTCAAACTCAGCTTACCTACACATGTTGCCTTCACAGAATTAGCTTCTTTCCCAATACTCTTATTAAAGATCCTGTATTCAAGCACCCAGGCTAGAAATTGTTAAAGTTTTTTTTACTTTTCCCTCCCATCTTTTCCACTCCAACATTCAGTTTGTCACCTATGTATATAGGGTTATCATTCCCCAAGTCTTTATTCCTTTTCATTTCCAGAGTTATTATTCTCATTATGGACTTTATCATATCATTCCTGAAGGACAGCCCTAAACTCTTAACTGGTCTCCCATCATCTGAACTCTCACTCTCCTCTACGGAATTAGTCTGCCAAAGAAAGGCTTTGAGCATTTAACCTTGTAACTTAAAATCCTGTTTTCCATAGTCCAATAAAGCAGACTTCTAACTTTGACTAAGACTCAGACTAAGAAATTTTACATTGGGTTTCAGTAAATGTGTCTACACACCCATAATACACACACATACCTGGAACAAAAGTTTCATAAACAATCCTTATAATAATGTATTCTAATATTTCCCATTTAATTTTTTAAAAAATACTGATCATGACTCACTAAATTGATTTCAGAAAGGCAGTTTGACAAATATTGCAATGCAAAATATTATACATTCATCATCCGTCTTGACTTTAAAATTCTCAATTCCAACCTACCTTCTTTGCCTTCTCTTATTACCCTTTTGTCATTTGTACTCTAGCCAAAACGAATCATCCCCGGCTAATTTCCTGAACTCATCATCATTCCCTCACCTCCACCTTTTAAAAATGTATTCATCTTCCAAGGCCTAATTCCTTCATAAGTATTTCTAGTTTTAAAAAAATCTCTTTTCCTCTAACTTACCAAAGGACTTGGGTGGTGCCAAATGTGAACTCTTATGTTTATTTGTGTATATATACATCCTTACTCTGCCATCTAACTTTTGAACTTTTGAGTAGGTTCTCTATGGTCAGGAAAGGACTACGTATTTCAACATCTTTTTATCATAACAACGAAAAAATAATGAGAGCTTTATGAAGATTCTGTAAGTTTTATAGTTTTTATATCGTTTCAGGCTACCAAATTCTTGGCACAATCAACTAGTATTAACTGAAGGTTTCACTTCAGTTCTCTTTATGATATTTGAATCAGTGGATAAAAATAGGAAGTCATGGATCAGCAGTGGCCAAAACTGCCCTTCGTCCTCAACCAAGTAGCTGTTCCCCCAGCCCCCATAGTCAGTGAAGGCAGTTTCCTGATGTTTTGTGATATCATTATCCCACTTTCTCTGTTCTTAACCAGCACTTACCATGTGTCTTGCCCTATCCTACATGCTTTCGGATACCCAAAATAGATTGTATATAAAAACAAACTGAGACATACTTCCTCAACCCTAATTAGGTTGAGGTTATTTTGAAATTTTGGTACGATATGTAGTGATCTTTTAAATAGTCATACTCCAAATATAAGTATTACTAAGAGCTACAAGAATAACTGAAAAATTAGAGGAGCAGTTAATTTTTTAACTTTACAAATTAACTTTACGAATTCCACTATAAATTTTAGTTATCTTCAACATAATGATCTTTTCAGCTGACTACTCCCTTTCCACCTTGGTTTCATAAGAAGACACTCAGAGAGCATGGAAAGGTACAATACAGTTATAAGCCTTGGAACTTCCTACAAGAGGTCAGGTACCAAAAATTAGTCATACCAAAATAATCTAGATCTAATAACCAGTGCAAGTACTACGAGTTTCAGATTCTTCGCTTTAAAAAATATGTTTTTTACAGAAGTCAGGAAGGTACCATGAAAAATAAACACATAAAAATAGCCAAACTATTACTACTTTAAAAACTGGTAGAACAAGGAAAATGGCTAATATACATTCTTAAAAAGAATTAATCTATATTTTTAAATCTGAATAGACACTAAAATAACATCATTATGCTCTAGTATGTAGCTTTCCCCTTTTGTAGCTCATACTTAGTCAAATAATCATCATGTAACATTTACATTTTTTGTAATTCCTAATGTGTCTTAGAGGTATGGTACAATTATTAAAGGATTGTTTAAAAGTCTTGAAAGACCACAAGATAAATTTAAACTCCTTAACATGGCATATAAGAGCTTTCAAATTGTGGCACAATATATACTTTTCTACTCTTCATCTATGACCAGCCACTTCCCACACATCTTTTGTTAAAATGTTTTTATATATGAATGACCATATTGTGAATAAGTTCAATTTTTTTATAACTTTTCAT